AAGGTTGTTAAAGTTATAACATCTATAATAAGAATCTGATAATCTATTTGGACTAGGTAACTTTCTGAGGTTTAATCTTTATATCTTTAGAAATTTTGCTTATTGTCATAGACCCATTCATAAGCTGACCCTGTCCCCTGTAATCCTTGGTAAACTCTATTCCTTTAGATATTCATCTATTTTCTCTAGGGAGCTCTCACTTCCTTTATACAAATTGGAATATTGTTTAAATAATTTTTGTATGGCCAGTTTGTTTTCTAAATCTTCCAAAGCCCACAACCAAAAGATGAAATTGGTATGGGACAGTAGTTAGAAGTAAATACTATACTGCTCAGGTTCACAGATAATGCTATTACTATCAATTGTTTTCTTGAAACTGCAATACTCAAACCAGAGCTGCAAAAGAGACATTAATAAGACATGATAGAATATGTGCAGCAGCCTGAATGGATTATGGATTTATTTTTAAATATTTGTAATATTATGTATTAAATTTTCCCATAGGGGATAGAACCTTTACAAAAATATTATCCATTAATACAATGTCTTCTTATAATTTCAACATAATTTTTTTCTTTTTCCTTAGCAATTTATATGCTAGCCACTTCCCCGGTTTATTTGCAAACTCAAATAAACTTTTCCTTTACATAATTCATTTTTATTTCTATTTCTCTTACTGATAACATAGAAGTTTGAGACACTTTAATTTTGGGGTTATTACACCACAATAACAACAACAGTGGCAAAAATAGAGGGAAGCACAGGGAGAGGTGTTGCTTCAGAAAATATTTAGACAACTGGCCATTAAGTTAGCTGAATCTCTTGATACTAAATTGACAGATTTTTAAAAAGAATGATGAAAGACTTGTAAAGATAAAAGAGGAGATAAAAGTAGTTAAGAAAATGGAAAGCTCTAAGTATCTGAAGATGTAAAACACATTAATGACAAAGTGGAAATTTTGGAGAATAAGATAGAAGTTATAGGCAGAGAGCTAGAAAGAGTAATATATAATCTGGCTCTATTGTAATTGAGAAAGAAGGAATTTTGTTTGATATTCTGGTGAAGATATTACAGAAAAGATAGTAATATTTTTGGGGTTGGGATGAGGATACAGGGGCAGAAATTGGTAAAGGGAATGTGAAATATTACAAGGGATGTTTTGGTGCACTTTGTCAGGAAGAAGACAAGGGACCAAGGGACAGCAGCATTTCAATATAAGACTGAAGAGTGGTAATACAAATACAGGTAGTCCTTGAGTTACAAATGTAATGGAGCCTGCCAATTACATTCGTAACCTGAGGATTCATAGGAGTGAATCGCATAACTTGACCGTGATCACACCCTGCTTTCACCCACGCATTCGCTAATCGAATGCACAGGTCGTTAAGTGCACATGAGGTATCTCAGGGTGGGGGAAGGCCATGGGGGCCTAGCAATGGAACAGGCCACTGCTTCAGACCACTCAAGGCCTCCCCCAACCCCCTAGAATACCCCATGCTTCCTCCCCTGGGATCCTCACAATTGCTCCCCCCCCAAAATCCTGCCACGCTGGGTCACTTACCTTGTGAAGATCTGTCTCCAGTCTCTCTCCCACAGTTTCTTTGCCTTCTTGCAGTCTCGGCACAAAGAGTGCTTGCAGCCAACAAGATTTTGGGGCAGTGAAATCTCTTGCTTCAAGCCTCCCATCAGTTTGTAAACACTCTTCATGTCGAGATTGGAACAGTGTGAAAGGTGTTTGCAAGCCAAGGGGAGGTTTGAAGCAATGTAATTTCACTGCCCCTAAGTCTCGTCGGCTTGCAAGCACTCTTCAGCCAGATCTGGTACAGACTTTGGTTCACAGAGAACAGAGGCCTAAACTGTCAGAATATTGCCAGCATATGATGTACCAGAGACTAGAAGGGGTTAAGTCTTTACAGACATCACATGTGACTATATCAGCCAATGAACTCTTTTATTGGACTCTTACCCAGAAACCACTTAGACATCTTCCCTGTTTTTTCTCTCTCTCTCTCATCTATCTCTCAGCAAGACAACAAGTGAACTTATCTCTCCTCTCAACATCTGAGTCATACAGTTAGGGTAAAAGGTGCAACAGGACACCTTGTTCATTATTGTATGCATGTATATATTTTGTAAATAATAAAACAACTTTTTGAACCTGAAGCTGTATGGACCAAATAACTTCCTCATAGAACCAAATGAGCACGACCATCAATATATATCTGACATAAACTACTTTAGCATGAGATCTCATGCTACTGATCTCACGTGATCTTGCACTACAGTACTTTAGGCCTTTGTTCTCTATGAACTGAGGCCTGCACGAGATCCAGGGCAAAAGGCTTTGAAAATGAAGATGCCTTCCTTCTGTTTGCAAAGCCTTTTGCCCCAGATCTTGTGCAGCCTCAGTTCGCAGAGAACATAGGTCTAAAGTACTGTAGTGTGAGATCACACGCGATCAGGAGCGCAAGATTTCACGCTACTGATCTCGCATGCTCTCTCACTTTAGGCCTCTGTTTTCTGAAAATGCACCAAAGCAGGCAAAGGAACCAACAGCTTGCTAGATCATTGCAAGGTAAGTCCCGGCAGGATGGGGTAAGGGAAAAGGCAGGGTGAATGTTGCAACGCCTCTGCCGTTGTTCGTAAGTGTGAACAATGGCTGTGATGCTGCAACATTCGTAACTTTCGGACTGGGTTGTAAGTACTTGGGGGGGGGGGCTAGGTCTTAACTTCAAATGGTTGCTAAGTGAACTGTCATAACTCAGGGATTACCTGTATAATCATTCTTAAAGAAATTTCTATTAAAATTTTGCATAGGCAAAAAGAGTATTCTTGTTTGATTGAGAGATTAAAGCAGAAAAAGATCCTATTTTGATGGGACATATTGGTAGGTGTCCAACTTTTAAACAGCAGAGGTTTCAATTCAATCCTATCGAAAGGCAAGGGAATTTCCAGAAAAATTCAAAAAGGAATTGGAGGAAATTCAAATGGAGATGTCAGAGGATACTACATAAAACTCCAACAGGTGCAAGAGAAAACTAAAAGGGAGGATACTGAATTAGGTATTGATTTTTATAATTTTTACACTTGATGCTTAATGTGGAATATAAATGGAAGAGCAGCTCCTCAAAAGAGAAAAATAATCATTATTTGAAAAAATTAAAATGGGAGATAATTTGTCTACATCTACAAGATATAAATGTTAGAAAAAAGAACATAAAATATTTGTTTTATAAAAATTTCAGCAAGAAGAACAACACAAAAAAATGGAATTGTTTTGTATATAAGTCACCAACTAAAACTAGAACTTGTACTGATTGATGAGCATGCTAGATTTCTTGGGATAGAAGTTGAAAGGCATGGAACTTACTGGGAACGTACACCCCAAATGAGGACAAACCACTGTTTTATAAACAACTTATGGAAAGTTAACTGGTTTGTCTTATTAAAATTGGTGTTTGATGAGGGATTTGAAGGGAGTGATCACTACTGGATAAAATTTCCAAGAAAAATATTAAAATCATTTAAGACAAATTACCAAAAGTTTTCTTTCATTTGATTGAAAATTTAGTCATGATTTATATATGAAGACAAAAAATGCATCACCACATCTCTTAACTCCTAGCCTCAAGGCAAAGTTATTTTTTCTATTCACCATATTTCAGTTTAAAACAATCCCTACCAAACTTTATTTCAAGATAATCCTTGAAAAATATCCCAGGCAACAGCTGTAAGGATCTATAAACAGTAAAATAAACTCATCAATGTGAGCACTGCCCTATCACTTCTGAGGCTGCAACAAAAATCATCCATGATTAGGCCTATGTTGAAATACACCTTGTAAAAATACTGATATTTTCAAAGAATCCAATGACTTTGAAATTAAACAGAAACAGAAGAGGTGGTGGTTTTGCAATTAAAGAGTTTTCCCTCATGGCAATCACTCAGATATCTGCCAGGAAAGCACACATAAAATGTTAATGGAAAAAAGAGATTATTACAAGTTGGCTTCATTTTAAACCTCCTGACAGAGTGGAGAGTAAAATAGTGATGCTCCTCAATAAGATGGACTAATGAATTAACTTAACCTAATGCACTTTCTCATGTTCTTAAACTATATATCATTTAAAAAGTAAGAGAGGAAACTTTAGCACTATATAAAATGGGATATTTAATGAAAACATTCCCATGGCACTACCAATTTTTAAGATAAACTCGTGGAATCAATGAAAAATACAGAAAAGATTACAGAGGCAGTGACAATAAACTATGGTATGTGGTAAGGTATGAGGCCAATTTGTGTGAGAGAGAGAGATTACCCAGATGGTTTCGTGCCTAAGGCGGGAGATCTCCGTTTCTAGCCTGATGCCTTAACCACTTGCCCAAATTGACTCTTACTCATATTTCTTTGCAAATATGGCAAAGGCTGGTTAAATCCTCTTTCATATGCATTATCGCTGCGTGCAAATGTGTCAAATATCAGCTTCCCTGTCTGTCACTCGACCTTATCTTTATTCTCCTCCAGCCCTACAGTCAATTAGAACGCTGCAGCGGCTTATCCCGAATATTGGCCAGTTTGTCAATATTCCGGCTATCTCAGCCTGTCCTTCGCAAAAATTTAGGTCTGGGAGAGTGCCCGATGCCTCGTCACTAGATTGCACCGGTCCCGCTTTTCCTTCCTACTCCCAGATCCTTGCAGTATTTCCTGCCGATGTACACGAACCTCACGGTCCTACAGTGTCCTATGATTCTCTTTTCCTATGGAATTTATTGAGCTTTTCTTAAAAAACCCTTCTTTATTGTGAATGGCCAAGCGATCAATCACTCAAGCTAAATCTCCCCCCCCCTCTTCCGCATGACAGCGAGAAGTCGCTGCGATGGCAAGATTTTCACCAGCACACATAGAGGCAACACAGACTTGCCGTTCAGAGAGTGGCCACACCTTCTTTCCGCTGCCTTCATGATATAAGGTTTCTGAGTGGTTGATAATGAGGTCAATTACGACGAAAGGCGGGACATTCGGCATCTGGGCGCCGGATGCTTTTTCTTGGCCCTGACTGGAACGGCGGTCGGGGCAGACGTGAGGGTGATGGCGCTTAGGTGGGGAGTGCTGTGGGTCGCCTCGGTGCTTCTGGCAGGTAAGGTTCCAGGCTTGTTTTCATCGGAACTGGAGGCGGGAAAGGTGGAGGCGACGGGCCCGCGAAGCTTAGCTCGCCCTAGTCGCCCTTCGGGCAAGGGGGAAAGCTGAAAGGCGGAAAGGTCAGCCGCTGGATGTGGATGGAAACGGGAGAGGGCGAGCGTGGTCGGAGAACCTCCTGTCAGTCATGAGAACCGGTGAGAAGGCGAGGCCGGGCTGCAGCAATTCGAAGCGTCGCAGAGTGTTTAAGGGGGGGCCCGGAGGCCGATAGCCGAAGGAGACCGTTTTTCTGAGTTGTTATCTCCAGAGTTGATGGCAGGAGACGATATGAGTTGTGGCTCCTGCTGGAGGGCCTGGCTCAGGAAGGCGGCTGTTATGGCGGCGACGGATGTTATAGTGGGGTTGCTTTGCTGTGGTTATATTGCTGTTCTAAATTATGCAGTTGTTGGGCTCATTTGGCGTTGGATTTAATTATTGTCAATAAACTGATCTGTATGTCATGGTGACTTTATTGATTTCTTTCCTTCAGATGAAAATAGATGCTGTTGCTTTGTCCTTAGCTTCTGCTTCATGCATTTTTTTGAAACCATAGACCCTGTATCTGTTGCCCAGCTTCTGTGGTTACAGTTTTGAGTGCAAACAACTTGAGGGAAAAATTCCTGTACTAATATCCACCCATTGAGAGATGGCTCTTATTTTAAAAGCTATCAAACCAAACTGATTCTTGTAGACTATATGTAGCTCTCTTAAATGATACTGATCAAGATTTAAATTATAATTTTCCCCAAAAATCAAGTTTAAAAAGAAATTCTGAATTAAGATATAATTTAGAAAGCAAATACATTTGTTTCTCTATGTTGGATCAATTGTTTTTATACTATGCTAGAGGACAAAAATGTTTTAAATTAACAGATTAAATGTGGATAACCTGTGATTACCTTTTCTGAACACTTAAAATAGTTTAGCAAACTGAAGCTTCTTTTAAGAGTGTAAAATGGGACTGAAACTCAGTCTCCTGGTTTCTAGCCTAGTGCCTTAATCATTATAGCAAACTGTCTAATTTTTTGTGGACACTCCGAAATGGAACCTTTGTCCTACATTACTAATTCAAATGACATATTAGTTACTGGTAGCTAATATTTACTGATGCTGTGCTGTTGGTGTAAATTAGTATTATAGAATCCTATGTGTTTACTGTCAATACCTATTCTGCTTAAATACAGCCTTGGATATAGTTTTGACCTCCCTCCAAGGTTAACATGGTCAAAATAACAAGAACTAAATTATACTAACTGGAGGTTTGTGTGTGGAGTAAAACATGATTCTGAAGGAAGATCCATTTTACCTTTACAGCAGGTTAACAAGAATAAGAAAACTGAGGTTTGGACCAAATCTTGCCCACTGAAGTGTGTAAATTAGCCTTTAAATTGCCAACATAGAACTAAAATTCTTGAACAAATATTAGAAGATTATATTTTGTCTATCGTAACCTATTTGTACTTTTTTGCAGAGGATTAAAATGCATGTGGCCAATGGTATTTTCTAATGAACTTAATGGAAGTGCTTTAGAGTAAATCTGAAATTGTTTTTAAAAAAATTATAATAAATTATACTACTTAGCCATGGATCCTTTCCTGAAGTGCATGATGTAGAAACCACTTGATAGCTGGTCATTCAGTATGTTTACATATATGGGTGCATTCTGCTACTTTAGTACAGGTTCAGGAACATCTTGTGCGTAGATCATTTAAATCATAACATGTTTACTGTAACTAGAGATCTTGTCTTTTCCTGTATCAGAATGCTGTAGTAGTGTTTTTGAATCCAGGTGAGAAAACTATCTTACGATAGATTTTTACCCCAAAAGTTTTTTATTAAAATAAATTCGATAAAAATCAAAAAAATCCAATTTAAATCAAAAAAATCTGATTTTTTAAAAAAAATCATTGATTTTTATCCACCCTGGTTTATATTTATTATGGTTGCAGTGTCCTGAGGTCATCTGATCACCTTTTGCAACCTTCTGACAAACAAAATCAATGGGGAACCCAGATAACATGCATTCCATCAGCCAAGGACTCAGGGAAGGGGTGGGGGAGTGGCAGCAATCATTAGAGAAAGTCTTTGCCCGAGGGAGGCCACTGTTCCTCAGATAGCCGGATGTGAGTCCCTCCTTGTGAAGTGGGGTCGGGGAATTCAGATGGGCCTACTGATTGCGTACCTGGCTCCCTGCCACGTAACAGCGGTCCTGCCTGAGCTGCTCGACATTATAGCCGGGGTGGCGGTGTAAACCCCCAGACTTATTGTTATGGGGGATTTTAACCTGCCATCCACTGGTGAGATGTCGGAGACGGCTCGGGAGTTCATGGCTTCCATGACGGCCATGGACCTGACCCAGGTAGTTCAAGGCCCCACCCACTTGGGGAATCACACACTGGACTTGATTTTTGTCTCTGATCAGTGGCTGAATGATCTAAGAATAAGGGATATAGACTTCAAGCCCTTGTCATGGTCTGATCATTCTCTCCTTCACATGAACTTTCAAGTCACTTCCACCCACCGCAGGGAGACGGAACCAACCAAATGGTTCCGTCCCAGGCGCCTGATGGACCCCGAAAGGTTCCTGATGGAGCTTGGGCCATTTCCTGAGACTCTGGCTCACGACTCGACTGAGGACCTGGTGGTCGCCTGGGACAGGGCGGCTACTGGGGCCTTGGACCGCGTCGTGCCTTTGCGGCCTCTGGCCCGATACCGATCTCGTCTAGCTCCTTAGTTTTCCGAGGAGCTGAGAGAGATGAAGCGTCAGAAAAGACGCCTGGAGAGCGATTGGAGGACAAGCCGATCTGAATCTGACCGAACACAAGTGAGATCTTATATTAAGACCTACCTAGTGGCGATAAGAGCGGCGAAGTCTAGCTACTTCTCCGCTCTTATTGCATCTGCAGAGAACCGCCCAGCCGCGCTGTTTAGGGTGACCCGCTCCCTACTTCAGGTGGGGGTACGGGAAGATCCCTTAAAGGGTCGAGCTGAGGATTTTGTACAATTCCTGCATGATAAAGTCGTTCAGATTCGGGAAGGCCTGGACTCCAATTGGGTAGATCCAGGGGAGGAGACGGGGGCAAGTCTTGAGAGCGTTATCTGGGAAGAGTTTGACTCTGTGACTCCTGAGGACGTGGACAGGATTCTGGGCAAGCTTAACGCTGCCACATATTTATTGGACCTGTGTCCCTCCTGGTTGGTACTGGCCTTCCAGGAGGTTACACGAAGCTGGCTCCAGGGGATTATAAATGCTTCTCTGAGTGAGGGTGTCTTTCCTGCCTCCTTGAAAGAGGCGGTTGTGAAGCCCCTCCTCAAGAAGCCTTCCCTGGACCCGGCTATATTATCAAATTATCGTCCAGTCTCCAATCTTCGCTTTGTTGCGAAGGTTGTTGAGAGTGTGGTGGCGCGACAACTACCCCGATACCTGGATGAAGTTGTCTATCTGGATCCATTCCAGTCGGGCTTCAGGTCACAATACAGCACGGAAACGACATTGGTCGCGTTGGTGGATGATCTCTGGAGGGCTCGGGACAGAGGTTGCTCCTCTATCCTGGTCCTATTAGATCTCTCAGCGGCTTTTGATACCATCGACCATGGTATCTTACTGCACCGGCTGGAGGGCTTAGGAATAGGGAACACCATGCTTCGGTGGTTCTCCTCCTTCCTCTCTGACCGTTCGCAGTTTGTGTTGGCAGGGGGGCAGAGGTCGACCTCGAGGCACCTTATTTGTGGGGTGCCGCAAGGGTCAGTCCTCTCACCCCTTCTGTTCAACATTTATGTAAAACCGCTAGGCGAGATCATCCGTGGTTTCAGGGTGAGTGTTCATCAGTATGCTGATGACACACGGCTATACATCTCCACCCCAGACCACCCCAATGATGCCCTTACTGTGATGTCCCATTGCCTGGAGGCTGTGCGGATCTGGATGGGGAGAGACAAGCTCAGACTCAACCCCTCCAAGACTGAGTGGCTGTGGCTTCCGGCGTCCCGGTATAGTCAGCTGGTACCATCACTGACAATAGGGGATGAGATCTTGCTCCCCACAAAGAGGGCCCGCAACTTAGGTGTCCTCCTGGATTCACGGCTATCTTTAGAAGATCATTTGACGGCTGTGGCCAGGGGTGCCTTTTATCAGGTTCACCTGATCCGCCAGTTGCGTCCCTTTCTGGATCAGGACGCCTTGTGCATGGTCACTCATGCCCTAGTTACCTCCCGTATGGACTACTGTAATGCTCTCTACATGGGGCTCCCCTTGAAAAGCACCTGGAGGCTCCAACTGGTCCAGAATGTAGCCGCGCGGGTGATTATGGGCGCAGCTTGTTACGCCCATGTAACACCTCTCCTACGCGAGCTGCACTGGCTCCCCGTGGTCTTCCGGGTGCGATTCAAGGTGTTAGTTATCACCTTTAAAGCGCTCCATGGCTTAGGACCCGGGTACCTACGAGACCGTCTTTTGCCACCAATAGCCTCCCACCGACCAGTTCGTTCTCACAGGGAGGGACTACTCAGGGTACCGTCAGTCAAATTATGCCGACTGGCGACTCCCAGGGGGAGGGCCTTCTCTGTGAAGGCTCCAACCCTTTGGAATGAACTGCCCCCGGAGATACGGAATATCCCTGATCACCGTGCTTTCCGCCGTGCCCTCAAGACCCTGATGTTCCAACAGGCAGGGCTAAACATATGAACATGTGAATGATTTTTTAAATGTTATCTAATTCTGAGTTTTATTTAATTGACCAAACTAAGTAATAATTTTAATTAGCAATTTTATGATGTTGTGTGTCTATATTTTTCTTGACTCTACACCGTCTTGAGTCCTACGGGAGAAAGGCGGTATAGAAATATAATAAATAAATAAATAACTTTACAACTGTGTTACTAACTTAACTACAGTACAATACTACACTACAATATTTAATAACTGTGGCAATAAAAGTTGTAAATTGGGGCAAAACTCACTTAACTGTCTCGTTTAATAACAGAAATTTTGGGCTCAATTGTGGTCATAAATCAATGATTACCTGTACCTAAATTCATTCAACTCAAGCTACAGAGGTAGAAAGCATTTGATACAGTGCCTGAGTCCTCAGGGAGAAGGGCGGTATAGAAATCCAATATAAAATAAAATAAAAAAATAAATTAAAAGAATAATTCCTACTGGAAAAAAATTATGTATTTTATATCTGCGTACATTTAAACTATTTGAGAACAATGACAACTGCTATTCTATTTAAGATACATAAATAATTTAGTTTATTCAGCATGAAATGGAGCTTAGTTATGTAGCATGAGGCTGTATATTCTGCAACACTATCAATGAGTCAACAGTGGGTCAAAGGAGTAGCAGAGATGACAGTTGCTCTTTAAAAATTATGATTTAAATCGAGTTGATTTAAATCAAATCCACCCTGATATAAACCAATTGCCAAGTATCTGAATTTTGATCACATGACCATAGGGATGCTGCAATTGTTGTAAGTGTGAAAAACAGCCATAAATCACTCTTTTCAGTGCTGTTGCAACTTCAGATGGTCACTAAACAAATGGTTGTAAGTTGAGGGCTACCTGTTCTGCCTTACATGTTTGTGGAAATGACTTTATCATATTGCATTCTTTTTTCAGTTGTTTCTGCCAATGAATTCAGTGTATTAAGAACTCCTGAATCTGTTATATTTCGAGAAGGAAATTGGCCAATTCCTGGAGAACGGATCCCAGATGTGGCAGCCTTATCCATGGGCTTCTCTATTGAGGAAGTATGTGACTCATTACTGTATATCTCTTCGGCCACAGAATTCCTTGCCTTTTTTTTAAAGTGTTGCAGATCTGTGTTACGGCACTATCTAGGGAAATTCAAAATCAGATTATACGTTTATTTATACTTACCGGTATGTCCAACATGTTTACCAAAATCATGAATTGATGAATAGTACTGCATCTGTTCTTTTCATTTAAATAGTGTAATGATTTCATTAATACAGTTTCTAATGCCTCATATTAAGTTATACATAAATTCACATAAAATATTTTTTTGGAAAATATAAACTATTTTATTTTAAAAAATTGCATTGCTACAGGATCTCTCTTGGCCTGGGTTAGCAGTAGGTGATCTCTTTCGGCGTCCGCGAGCTACTGTTCTTGTTACTGTAACAGGGATAGACAAGCTAACAATGCCTAAGAATGGAGTATCTTACCCAGTTGAAAATGTAAGTACATTATAGATTCCAGTGTATTAGTAGCAAAATTTCCATATAGAAGAACAAGAAAGTATGGTTTCGAGACTGCATGCTTTTGTTATGAGTTGGTGTACAGAAACAGAATGTAAATTTTGGTAGTCACATAGAAGATACTTTTTTTTCTTGGAACATTTAGAATGTTTGTATTTCAGTAAATTTATACAGCAGTTCTTTCTAGAAGCTCTGTATGGAAATGATGTACTGGTAGAGGTTTCCATCTGAGATGGAGAATGTACAGAAATTTTCCCTTTCTTTTTATATCAACTGTAGCAGAAAGTAATTTTTTTTCTTGATCTTAATAATTAACATATTTTTGCTTTCTTTTTCTTCCCACATGAATAAACTATTCGTGTACTGGGAGGAATATAGGAAATGTATGCCATTTATATACTGAAGTAAAAAAAATCAATCCGGCACATGGAAATATAATATATTGAGGTTAGACAACCTAAGGCCCTCCAGATGCTTTGCAGTTTCCAGGAACCCCAGCAAACTTACTCAGTGGTGGTGGGGGTGGGTGGGATAGGAACTGTAGTTCAGAACCTTTGGAAAGTTCTCTATTGACTAACACTGCAATAAATCAAAGAAAAAAAAAGCTAGACAGGAGGTATATATGAGCTAAGGCCAATTTAAATAATAAATTTTTATTTGAGTAAAGTTTTACTTTCTTCCTTTAAAACAGGTATTTTTAGATTATAGAATAATAATTATCTCTTAAATGGAAAGATCTATATACAGTTAGAAAGCAAGGCTTCATAAAAACACTGGTTTATGTAATTTGGGCATGATTTTTCTATAATCCACTTTAATCTGAATGTTAATACTGTACACCTTAATTTGTATTACCTTATTTGAATATGCATTATTTCTTATTGTTTGTTCTTCAGTTTCATCAAAATAAGTTACTTGAAGATTCTGAAATCTTCATTATTTTCCATGACAGAAATGTTTGGCTAATCTTAAAAGATCCTAAGATAGCCCTACTGAAAATATAACTAATGTTTACTCTCCTTACTTCAGATAATTACAACTTTATGCATTCTAGTCTGAAATGTAACCTGTTATTTTTTAGAACTACATGTTTCTTTATTTTGGGGAAAGCTAGTAGTTACATGCAATTAAAAGTCTTCATAAATATATTTCATGTCGATTTTTGTTTTCCTTGGGACAGTACAGGTAGTCCTTGACTTATAACAGTTCATTTAATTACTGTTCGAAGTTACAATGGCACTGAAAAAAGTGACTTAGGATCATTTTTCACACTTTTTCACAACGTTGCAGGCCGCCAGCGGCCAGCAGAGCTGGCAGCAGATTCGGACAGTGAGGAGGTTGGGGAGGAACGTGGGCCAGTCCTGGAGTTTGGGGAAGGCTCTGACGATGGCTCTGAGACAGAGGCAGAGAGGGGGCCAAGGCTTCTGGTAGTTCTTTGCTGCCTCTGGAGTCTGATATCAGCGAGGCAGAAGAACAGCGTGAGCCTGTTCCCAGTGTGTGCATGCACAGAGCTGCTAGGAGACAGGAACAATTAAGGAAACAGGGTCGACTTGGGAGTAAGGCTTGGAAATGATTGACTTTCCATAAGACTTACCATAAGACATAAAAGAGAAGCGAACAGCATGTAAGCTTTTGCAGGAAGCAATTAGTTCATCTGGCTGATTCAATATTTGAAACGTTTGTGACTCTGTGCCAAGTTTGGTCTTATTTATTTTATTTATTTATTTATTTATTGGTTCGATTTATATGCTGCCCTTCTCCGGAGACTCAGGGCGGCTTACAATGTGTTAAGCAATAGCCTTCATACTTTTGTATATACCTGCTTAGTAGGGCTTTTGGCCCCCCCAAGCGGTGTTCTTTTTATACAAAGTCAGCTTATTGCCCCCACAATCCGGGTCCTCATTTTACCTACCTCGGAAAGATGGAAGGCTGAGTCAACCTTGAGCCTGGTGAAATTTGAACTTGCAGTAATTGCAGGCAGCTGGCAGCTAAGTGCTACTTAACAGCACTTTAGTCCGCTGCGCCACCAAGGCTGCTTATTTCCAGAGGCAGGCCTTGCCCTGCCTCTGGAAATTAGCTTTTTGGCAGCATTCCACGTGAGATAGGTGGGTGTTGATAACCTTCCTCTGAAAGACTGTTTATCAAGCCTTGCAGACTGTAAATGAAGGAAATTTACAGCCGTATGAATTAAAGAGGTTTGCCAGGACCAAGTTTAATTTCTAAGGAAGCCTAGGTCAGAACAGCAGTATCCCCATGGTCACGTGATTTACATTCGGATGCTTGACAGTTGACTGACATTTATGATGATCAGTGTCCTGTAGCCATATGATCCTCTTTTGAGAGCATCTGACAAGCAAAGTCAATGGGGAAACCAGTTGCATTTAACAACCGTGTTACTAAGATAAACCGCAGTGATTCATTTAACAAATCTGGCGAGAAAAGTTGTAAAATGGGGCAAAACTCACTGAACAAATTTCTCACTTAACATAAATTTTGGGCTCAATTGTAGTTGTAAATCAAGGACTACCCATACAGAAACAATAATATATGCTGAAAGTTATTATTTTCCTGTTTTCTATAGATTTCAATTTTAATTTACTAGCGTTTTATTTTAGGCAGTTCCCTTCAGCCTGGATGGGGTTGCAAATGCAATACATACTTTATTTTCTGAGGAAACGCCAGTAGTTGTCCAACTAGCTCCTAGTGAAGAAGTAAGTTCCATATTTTTTTTAAAAAAAGCATCAAAAATTATGATCTTTAAATGCTTCTGAGTAGAGATTTTTCTTAGAACTTTCAATATTAGGAAAGAGTTAATTGAAGACTCCTATAACAGTGCAAGATTATAATGCATAATGATGGTTCTTTCAGAGAGTTTATATGGTGGGAAAAGCAAATTCTGTATTTGAAGATCTTTCTGTCACACTGCGGCAGCTTCGGAACAGACTTTTCCAGGATAATTCCATTCTTGCTTCTCTTCCCCTCAACTCATTAAGCAGAAACAATGAGGTAAGGAAAGACTCAATCAAATTGTCTTGCTTGACAACTATTTTAAATTGATGTTATGTATGTTAAGGAATCCCATTTTGTGAAATCTATATTCTAGATAAGGTCTGTTTCAGGGCATGGAGTATTTATTAGTTTCAGTTTTACATTTGCCTGTTTAACATTTTTATTGAGTTATAAAGTATTATAAAATACAAAATACAAAGTAAATAGAAAAGCAGTGGGGGTAGGGGCAAGGGAAAGAGAAGTGAGGAAAGATAAGGGGAGGGGGGGAAGAAAAAGAAGCATTGACTTCCAACTCTCTGTTACAGTAAAATAAGGCATTAACATCAAATCACAACTTTTTGCTTTTTCATAATAATATGAACAAGCCATTTCTATAAAGATCTATCAGTCTGATTTGTAAAACCAAAGTCAGTTTCATTCTTTGCCACATCAAGCATAAAGTTCAGAAGTGGTGTCCATATAAAAACAAAAGTACTTAAGTTCTTTTCTTTAATCAAAGTGGTCAATTTTGCCATTTCAGCCAACTCATCAACTTCTGCAACCATTTGTCCATAGTAGGAATCAAAGTGTCCTTCCATTTTTAGGCAGTTGTTGATAGGTAAACCAATGGCAAACATAACCACCTGATTCAAGTTCTTCCCTCGGCTTTAATATTGGGTAATCAGAGTTGAAAGATAAAATTTTACAGTACATCAACCAGTCTGCTTTGCCACAAAATGGTTATTAAAATCAACATTAACTTTTATCATACCATAAGTAGCCGTGCCATCCAAATCTTAATTTATGGCCCTCTAGTTCAAGTAACCTCTTATCTGGAGGTTCACCCATTCTTTTGCCCAGGTCAAACAGCATGCATCAAAATACATTTTCATATCTGATAGACCCAACCCCCCCTCTTTCCTTAGCATCTTGCAGTGGCTTAAATCTAATTCTTGGTTTTTTCCCCTTGCCATATGAACTTAGAAATATCCTTCTGCCATTGTTTAAATAAATTATCAGATGTTAGTATTGGTAACGTCTGAAATAAAAAAAAGCATCTTTGGCAAGATATTCATCTTGATTACAGAAATTCTACCCACTAGTAATTTATCCTATCTTTGAAAATCCTGTTTAATATCCCTCCAAAGAAGGGATAGATATTTTGAAACAGTTTTATATTTGTAATTGTCAACATAACCCCTAAATATTTCACCTTTCTCTCAACCCTAAAACCTGAGTTTTTATTTAATATATCACTATTCTGAGAAGACATATTCTTGATCAGCATTGTTCTCTGTTTATCTATTTGAAACCTACCAAATCCCCCAGGTTGATGAGGATGATTTCCTCATCAACCTTCCACTTGATGAGGAAACTCTTTCAGTTTCCTCATCAAGTATTCTGTATTATTTTTGGAGCCTGTAAAAATATAACCAGATCATCAGTGAAGGCCGTCAATTTATAAATTTCTTTCTTAATATTTATACACCTTATTGTATCATCTTGTCTAATACTTTTATTCAGGATTTACAAAACCAAGATAAATAGCGCAGGGGACAAAATACATCTTTGTCTTGTACCCTTTTGAATTTCGCATGTTAGTTAAGTCACCATTTATGACAATTTTTGCATTCTTGATGTGTAGATTGCTTTAATTCCTCAGATAAAATTCACTCCAAAGTCCATTTCTTCCAGCACCTTAAAACATAAAAGCCCAATTTATGTTGTCAAAGCCCTTCTCTGCACCTAAAAATATTAAGGCAGCCTGTTTCTAATTATGATATTGTAACTATTCAATAATATTTAAGACAGTCCTCTAATTACCTCTTAGCTGTCTTTTCAGTAGAAAATCTGCTTGGTCTTCATGTATAATATACCTGTAGAATATTCTTTAGTCTTTTTGCCAGAATGGCAGCGAAGAGTTTGCAATCTTCATTTAAATAATGAAATTGGTCTATAAGTCTTTGTCTTTGTAATGTCTTGACCTTCCTTTGGGAGCAGCACAATATTGGCTTCTTTCCACATCTGGGGTATATCCCCCCCCTGTAGTATATCATTCATTGTGTCCTTTAGTGGTTGAAGAAGTTAATCCTCGAAGTACTTATAGTATTGACTTGTGAGACCATCTGGGCCTGGGGCTTTGCCTGGCCTCATTTTTTTGATAGCTTCTGATACCTCAAAAACAGTTATCGGATCATTCATAAATTGTCTCTAGGTTTGTGACACCTAGAGGTAGGTAACTGTTGTCTTAAAAGATATTTATCTATTTTTAACATATCAATCTCCTATCTTTTATAGAAATTTGAATAAAAACTATGAAAGGACTTTTTAATGAATTCATTGTCTGTTATTACATTATTGCCTTGCAAATTTTTCCAATATTGTCTTTTCTCTTTCTTTTCTTAATTTATATGCCAACCATCTGCTTGCTTTAATTGCAAATTCAAAATGTCTTTGTTTTGCATAGTTCAATTTGGTTTCTATATCCTGTACAGCTAACATAGATAATTGTTGATGTAACAATTTAATATGGTGTAAAATTTTAGGATCCATAGATGTCTTTTGCAGCTGAATTTCTTTCTGTCTAATTTCATCCAATGTTCTTTGCGTCTTTTCCTGGGATTTTTTCTTCTTTAAGCGATTATACTGTATAAAATAGCCCCTTATAACCGGTTTACTAGCCTCCTATACTGTTGTTAAGCTTGTCCTTTACCCAAATTATTCTCAAAGTATTCCTGCAGTTTCTTTTTACAGTCTTTTACAATCTTTTCCTTTTGTAAAATAGCTTCTTTAATCTCCATCTGAAACTCGAGCTTTTTCCTCTTAAAGCCAAAAGCACAGGATTATGGTCAGAGAAAGACTTAGGCAGAATGTCCACTTTCAGAATTTTATTTGCAAGATTTTAGATATCCATATCATGTCAATCCTTGAAAAAGATTTATCTCTTTCAGAATAATAATAACAACAATAATAATTTTATTGTCATTGTATGTTTATACACAGTATACCCATACAACGAAATTCACTTAACACCCAAAGATCAGGTCCAACACACATAACAATCCCCAAACACACCCCCACCCATCACAATTCCCCACCCCTAAACCACCCAAACATCCACACAGCAGACCAAGTAATGCTGTCCAACAGCTCACTGATGGTGGCCCTTTAATTTGTTGTTGAGTGCAATTATAGCTCTGGGATAAAAACTATTCAGAAAACGTGTGGTCCGGGTTTTAAAAGAAGTTTTAAAAAAAGTTAAAAGAGTTTTAAAAGAAGGTATATTCTCTGGCATCTCCATTTTTATATCTCCATGAATCTATTAGTACTAAATTATCCATCATCTCAAAGAAAATCTTAGATAATTTACCCTGTAAGCGTTTAACCCCTTTGATGATTGTTCTATCCAAAGCTGGTGTAGTCACTTAATTCCAATCCCCCAACATAAGCCTGTTTCCATATGAGAAAGGCAGTAACTGATCCATTAAATGATCAAAAAATTTGCTTCTATCATCATTTGGGCCTATACATGCTCACCACTATTGATTTTATTCCATTAAGTTCAATTTTGACTGCTACAAATCTACCATATTCATTTGCTACAAGTAACTTAGGTTTGAATGGGGTTTTATATATAAAACAACTCCATTAATTTTTTTTACACCAGCTGATATAAATTCATCTCCTAGTCATTTATTTATTAAATATTTCTTGTATTGTTTCTTAATATGTGTTTCTTGAAGACAGACTATATCCAATTTAAGTTTCCTCAAATAGTGAAATAATTTTTTACACTTACATGGGGCATTTGCTCCATTAATATTCCATGTGATAGATTTAATCTCCATCTTTAAGCACTGTAATAGATTCCTGTACAACTGTCTTGGCCACATCTCTTTTCTTTCTACTTCTCTCTGCCACGTCTTCTTCAATGCCTCCTTTGAGGTCTTGCTCAACGACTAACTTCTTTTCTATACCCATTTCTCCACATGAATCTGGAATTAATTTATATCTGATCAAAAAATTCTTAGCTTTCTAAGACAGCAGTGTGCTGCAGCTGCCAAAAAAGCCAACACAGTTCTAGGCTGCATATACAGAGGGATAGACTCCACATAATGTGAACTGTTAATACCACTTTATAATGCCTTGGTAAGGCCACACTTGGAATACTGCATCCAATTTTGGTCGCCATAATGTAAAAAAGATGTTGAGACTCTAGAAAAAATGCAGAGAAGAGCAACAAAGACGATTAGGGGACTCGAGGATAAAACATATAAAGAATTGTTGCTGGAACTGGATATGTCTCGCCTTATGAAAAGAAGGACTAGGGGTGACATGATAGCAGTGTTCCGATATCTCAGGGGCTGCCACAAAGAAGCACCTGAAGGTAGGACAAGAAGCAATGGGTAAACTAATCAAGGAGAGAAGCAACTTAGAACTAAGGAGAAATTTCCTGACAGTTAGAACAATTAATCAGTGGAACAACTTGCCTCCAGAAGTTGTAAACGCTCCAACACTGGAAGTTTTTAAGAAGAGACCGGATAACCATTTGTTTGAAATGGTATAGGGCTGTGATGGCGAACCTATGGCACATGTGCCACAGGTGGCACGCGGAGCCATATCAGTGGGCACGCAAGCTCAGCTCTGGTGCACATGTGTGTGCCGGCCAGCTAATTTTCGTGCCTTCTGGAAAGGCTCTGGAGCCTGGGGAGAGCAAAAAATGGGCCTTCCAGACCCACAAATGGGCTGTTTCCAGCCTCTGGAGGGCCTCTGGGGGGGTGGGGAGGCCGTTTTCGCCCTCCCTAGGCTCCTAGAAAGCTTGTGGAGTCTGTGGAGGGTTTAAAATTGGACTATAGGGCCCACTGTGCCATCACGTGCCAAAAGCGGGGGGAGCGTGGGAGGTCGCGAGCACATGCGCGGGGAGTGGGGCGCATAGAATTATGGGTGTGGGCATGCATGTGTGTGACCCCCCCCCACACGACCCCCATTTTTGTCATGTGATGGCAAAAAGGTTAGCCATCCCTGGTATAGGGTTTCCTGCTTAAGCAGGGGGTTGGACTAGAAGACCTTCAAGCTCCCTTCCTACTGTTGCTCTTTAGCACAAGTTAATGCTAGAACTATTCAGAGAATAATTTATTAAATATTTCTGAGGAAGGAATTAAAAGTATTCTGAGTGAAGGGACACAAATAGTGACAATGAGGAAAATATGAAAATAATTTTAAGAAAAATTCCTATTCCTATTCTATTCTCTGTGGAATTCAGCCTAAATCTTTGCTCATGGTAAGTATCACCCCTTCTGATTTATCCCAACAAAATAATATTTTTCTCTGTTTCAGTTTATTTCAGTTTTATATTAAGTGTTTCATTTGTTAAGAGAATGTATGGGTAAGTCCTGCATGTGCTACCCATGCTAAATTAATATCAGAATTGATTTTCAGTCTTTTTATTATAAATTGAAATGCTTTTTCAATTCACCTTTTTGTATGTGTGCTTGTTTTTATGTATACATGTTTATTTCATAGGTTGATCTCCTCCTCTTGTCAGAATTGCAAGTTTTGAATGATATCACAAGCTTGGTAAGCAAATTCTGCAAGCAAAATTCTACTATGTGGTTGACTGTATATTTTCTGACTGTAATTATTCAGCTGATTTAGAACATTTTAAATTAGAAAGAACACAGAATGTGTAGTTTATTGGCTAAACTGGACCTTGATAAATTCCTGGAGAAGCAGAATATAGGATAAAAAGTATCAACATGTTCCAGCACTTTCACTAAAATGGAATGTCATGCTCCATGATTCTAGTTCTACATCTTTTGTATATAAAGGTATCTTTGATTTATGACTATCTCTAATGGTCCGAATTAATGACCACCTGAGAAAGGGTGCTTTATGTCCTGTAGTGCACTTCTGACCACATGCAAAATGTCATATCCACCTCTCCCCCCCCCCTCAGTATTGTGACCATGATCTAGGTGTTTAGCAAACTGTTTGTGCTTATGACTGGTTGCCAAGCATCCTGTCAACATGTGATTCCATTTGCAATCTTCTTTGCTGCTTTCCCAGAAAGACAGTGGCAAGCTGCTTCCACTTGCTAAGAGATCTCTGTCTTGTCTCTGGGGGCTATACAAAAGGATCATGGCTTAGATTGCACCAGTGTGCCTGTCATTAACATCAACCATTAACTTCCACCCCATGTAGATTCATCTGTAGGATACAGATTCTAGAAAACAATTACTTAAAATAGTTAAAACGTTGCTTTCTAAAATTGAAATGCCTACTTTTTACTTTGATATTCTTTTAACAATTTTTACCTACTGCTTCCCAAGCTTTCTAGACACAAACATCTGGCCAAGGATCATTCACCAGATCTATATTCTCTAGAACTTTCTGGGTTGGAAGAAATACGTAAAAGGTATGGGGAAGATTCACAGCAGTTCAAGGATGCTTCTCAGATTCTTGCAGACTCTCTGCAAAAGGTTAGTAGAGCAAAAATGCTGGTAAATAATGTAACTTTTTCTTAACTTAGAATATAGAAACAGGCATGAGTAGATTATGCAGTGCTTTATTGCTGATACCTGTTTGGATTTTTTCAAATAAAATTTTCTTCAGTTTATACTTGTTGGCCAAATAAAGATATAGTCTTAATTCATTCTTCAGTCATATGTACAGGTAATCCTTGAGGTACAACAGGCCACTTAACAAACATTTGAAATTATAACAGACCCCAAAAACATATGACCCTATTTCAAAGTTATTGCAGCAGGCCTGCAGTCGTTTGCCCTTATGATTTACCATAAGGTTGCTGCAGTGTTCTTCCACCTCTCTCCCCTCATCCCACCCTTCTGGAACCCTACAGCATTGCCTACTCTCCACATATCCATCATGTCCCACACTTAGCTTCTGAAGCTATCCGGAGTTCATGTTGTAGAAGGAGAACAGGCCATGTGTCCCTGGATTGCATGGCAGCAATCAAAATGCAACCATTTTGTCCTGCCCATTTGAGGCTACTAAAGAAATTCTTCATCCTGCTGCTTTAGAGAGGTCTGCATAGTGCTGCAGAAACTTCTGAACGCTACAGAAAGTTTCTGCAGCATTGTGCAGATCTTGGTAAGGCAGCAGTTTGTCCTGAAGCTGTGTGATAGGTGGCTCTATTGTAGTCGCCATTTTGTCCTGCCCATTTGTGGAGGGGAGAACCAACCTAGAATTGAGGAGAAATTTCCTGACAGTTAGAACAGTGATGGCAAACCTTTTAGGCACAGAATGCCCAAACCGGAAGGTGCATGCGCACCAGAGCACCGGAAACCACCGGAAAGCGGTTCATTATTGCAGGGCAGGGGACAAGGACGGCGCCAGGGGCTCCGTGTAGCTACTATCCCACCCCTCCTCAGTCTCGGTCACGCCACGAGGCTCCAACTCAAGGTGAAGACGGAGGAAGAAGGGGGGGTGGGGGAAGTGTAAACGGCAGCTACCTTGAGCAAGCCGCAGCGCTATTACGCAGGGCTCCGAGTGGTTGGAGAAGCGGCAGAAACAGCAGCCAGGGCTGCGCTTTCAGCGGGTAAGCAATGCTGCCTCTGCTGCGAGGAACTTTGGAGAGAGTGGGCAGACGAAAGCTGTGGCCATTCTCGCCAGCTCTTAGCCTGCCCCACCCTCTCTCCAAAGTTCCTCGCAGCAGAAGCAGCTTTGCTTACCCGCTGAAAACGCAGCCCTGGCTGCTCTTTCTGCCGCTTCTCCAATCACTTGGAGCCCTGCGTAATAGTGCTGCGGCTTGCTCAAGGTAGCTGCCGTTTACACTTCCCCCGCCCAGGCTGTGAACTCCAGCCTGAAGAGCAAGAAGCAAAGGCTGCCTTACGTGCAAATGTGGCGTGAAGGTAGGTATAAGGCAGCTTCTCTCCTGCACTCTCCTCCTCCCACTCTCGTGATGCCTGGCCAGCTGTGGCTGAGCCGGGAGCATGCACACACGTGGGAAGACCCTCCTTAAGCAAGCCACTGCCCACCCTGCGCGCACCTTTCCTGAGCTTTGGTGCTCGCTTGAGGAGGGTCTCCCTGCGCATGCGCACGCTCCCGGCTCAGCCACAGCCGGCCAGGGCATCACGAGTGTGGAAGAGCCACATTCAAGGGGCCAAAGAGCTGCATGTGGCTCACGAGCCATGGTTTGCCGACTACTGGTATAGGGCATGGATATCAAACTCGATTGCGTCACGGGCCGGATTGTGATATATCACGATGTTTTTTGCCTTTGCAGAGCCAGGTGGACGTGGCCTGCTTGTGATATATCCGGCCTGTGGGCCGCCAGTTTGACAGGCCTAGTACAGCATTTTCTGCTTGAACAAGGGGTTGGACTAGAAGACCTCCAAAGTCCCTTCCAACTGTTATTCCATTATAATATTTGAGTTGTGTGCCTTTTATCATTTGAATCTAATTTCAGCTGGCAAATTCTGAATTTTGGGCTCTTTCAGTTTGCAGATGAGATGTACAACATCTACAGTGGGAATGCAGTGGTAGAAGTGGTAACTGTGAAGACTTTTGATACTCCCTTTGTGAGAAAATCCAGATCTATTCTACAATCCTCAGAGGTTATACAAACTTTTGCATTTCTTTTGGTAGTTGGATAATACATCTTTTTTTGAAAATCTCATGCATTTTAGTAGAATAACTAAACAGAAAAATGCAGAGTATTAATAATAACCTGTTTACTCTGTGCTTTATACTTTATTTTTTTAGCCCCTCAGTAAAATAATTCTTGGAATAAAAAACAGTAGTTGTAAATGCACTTGAGTATAGTCACTTGAGTCTCAGAGTAATATAATGCAAAAGTTGAATAATTATTCAATTTGTCTATCATTTCTATTTTTGTGACTTAATGATTTGACATAATAATCTACAGCATTTTTCTTTGAACCTCAGAAATTAGGAAAACATTTGATTTACTGAAATTATTTGTCACTAGATTTCCAAATTACTTCTGTGAAGTTTAAAGCAAATTTAAAAATAATGTAATATCACAGATTACTGATGAATTTATAAAATATACATATCTGTTATTTTCCAAACATTTTGTTGGAATTTTTCATTAGGTGCAACATGCCCTTAATTCCATGAATTACACTGGCATGTAAAGATTGCTTGGTTTTTTATGTTGAAAATATTTCAATAGGCCTGAACACTGGGCTAAATCCAACAGATTGGTGTTCAGCTGTGGTAAATACTATATAGAATCTGGGTAGGAAAAAAATCAGATGCATTGGAACATTGTCATTTAGAGAACGTGAGAAAGATCTAGGCGTCCTGGTGGTCTACCAGTTGAGTGTGAGTAAGCAATGTGCTGTAATTGCTAAAAGGCCAATGCAGTCTCGGGCTGCATTTATAGAAACGTTGCACCCAGATCACAGAAGGAAATACTGTTTTTGTGCTGTTTAGACCAGACATTGTTCTGTGTCTAATGAGGGGCAGCTTGTTTTTAAAAGGGCCTGAAAAAATTGGAGCAGGTTTAGATGATATTGAGGGGTCTGGAAACTAGCCCACATGAGGAACTGGATGTATTATACTTTCAAAAGGTAAGATTAAATGGAGATTTGAATGATATGCCCATGAGGCTGTCCATTATATGAGGGGCAGACTGTTCTCTGTTAAAGAGGCAGGACAGTGACCAAAAGGTTGCTATTAAAAGAAATTAGATTAATGCTGAATATTAGAATGAATTCCATAAAGATAAAAGCTACTAACCAGTGGAACAATCTACCTAAGCAGTTGTAGACTTCCTCCTTGGAAATTTTCATATAGGTGCTAGATAACTACTGGTCAGGGATTATTTAGTAGATTTCTAATTTGGATTAAGATGAAGATTCTTCCAACCGATACTCAATAACTTAATAGGAAAAAAATTACATTGAATAAATTGACATTTTTTTATGTTAGAGTTTGCAGCAATCCAACCAGCATATAAGTAAACAGTTCAGCAGGATTCATTTATATAAGAAACTTCTTTATATACAATACCGTACAGCAGAAGCCAGAACCAGAACTCAGAATCCAGAAGTACAGAATCAATAATCACAGAAGCACTCATATATATATACAGATCAGGGGACCTAATCCACAGCTAGTCTCCGAGCTGTCTGGGTCACCAAACAGTCCCCATTGGCTGACCTGTTGCATGTCTATTCCAATACATGAACCTTTATATACTGACACTCCTCCCTTCATGACTGCAATAGACATAAAACCGAATAACTTAATATTCTTCCCATGGTGCACTCCACCAATGGCTTGGTCATTATATGTGCCAGATTGTCCTCTGAAGAACAGTGAAGCAAGCTAATTAATTTACATTTGATGGCTTCTCTTACAGTATTTAATATCCACATGCTTGATTCTATTCTTTACTGTGTCACCTGTAGCCATTTTAATGCAAGCAGCATTATCCTCAAACACTGTTACAGCTTCAGTTACTTTTATGTTTAAATCCTTTAACAGCTGTACGTACCAGGTTATCTCTGAGCAAAGCTCAGACAGAGCAATAAATTCTGCCTCTGCCGATGCTAGTGCCAACCTTATGCTTTTACTCTTTACAGTTGGCGCGAATACCTCCTTATAGTGCATGTTTTTCCTTTGTGAAAAACCTTGCTTTATATTGTACCTCATTGTTGGGCAGTACTTTGTCCATGGCTTCTTTCCATTTTACTTGTTCAATTTTGGGTAATGCCAATATTTCCTGATAGTTTCTTGGCTCATACCACACATTACACACCTTAGCAGAATACCTGTCAGGTGGAATCCCTTATTCCATCGCTCTGACCTGCGTGGTATTGACTGCTCTTGTGTTTCAACCCTCTCTTGCTTCATATCCAAGTCATCATCTTCTCCTGACTCCTTTTCTTGCTCTCCTTCAGTTTCTCTTCCTTGAACGCTGACACCGTCACTAAGTGGGTCACTGTCACTAAGTAGATCACTCCAAAAATTTGCATCAATTATGTTCCAATTTTGCTCTGCAAAGCTAGCAGACCTGGAAATGACTATTCTTTTGCTCCCATCGCTAAAATAGCTCTTTGAGCCAGGCTCATAACCTGTAAACCTGAGCTTTCTAACTTTTGGTTGAGCTTTTTTCCTGATTGCTTTTGGAATATGCACCCATGCATTGCTTCCAAAAACCCTTAAATGTGCCAGAGATGGCTTTCTCCCATATAGCGCAGCATATGGAGTATTATTAATAGAGGAACTCCACAGCCTATTGATTAAATAATTATCAGTCAACATGGCTTCACCCCAATATGAGCTGCTCAGACCAGAATCCTCCAGCAGTGAGTCCTTCATTGTTTGTAAAACACCATTCTGTCTCTCAACCACGCCATTCTCAGCTGCTGTGTACAGATTTCTGCATCTGTGTTTTATTCCTAACTGTCCCAACCACTGTTGAAAACTTTCTGACATAAATTCTGAACCTCTGTCAGTTTGCAGCTGACATACCTGTTGTTTATATCTCCTTTCTACAAAGCTTACCTGTTGCTTACATTTCTGTAGCACCTCTATTTTACTCTTTAGTAAATAGCAGAACCCAAATCTGCTGTAGTCATCTACAATGACCAGTGCATACTTTGCTCCTCCCAAACTGGATTGCATTGGCCCTACCAAATCTGCTCTAGAGCTCTTGTTGTCTGCCATGTACTACTCTTGCTTACTGGGAATGCTTTGGACTTTGATGATTTGCATACTGCACAGTCCAAGTATGCCTTACATCCCTTTAAATTTAACCCTTCTCCAAACTGTTCCATCTTTTGGAAAACTCTGAAGCTGGCATGGCCAAGCTTTCTATGCAAGAGATGAATGCATGGATCATGTTGTGCCACATTTCCAAATGTTTGAGCACATTGAATCTTTTGTCCCTGCAACACATAAAGATTTTCCTGCTTTATGCCCTGTGCACATACATTCCCATTTCTCTTTATAAGGCACTTCCCATTTACAAATGTGGTCTCAAACCCATTTTGGTCTAGACTAGAGACACTCAGTAAATTATGCTCCATTTCAAGCACACATATGTTGCCTAATTTCCTTCAGACATGGAATCACCACACTGCCTTTTCCAGTGACTTTAGCCTTCTGGCCATTCGCCAAGGCTACTGCATCTCCTCCAGCTGGATCTATTCTGAAAAACAATTTAGAATTATTAACAATTGTTTGACTAGCCCCACTTTGTCCCTGCTATTACAATAGCTAACTTTTGCAACAGCAGCCTATCCATCAGTGGTATCTTTTCTTTGTAAACAGTCTTTCTTCAAATGAGTCTTATCACTACAGATGAGACACCTCCGTTCTGTTGCTTTCTTTGTAGAAAACCTTTGCTGGGCTGTAATCTGGTCTCTTCTGTTACTCGGGTCTCTGCAGACATCATCTCTGCAGACATGCTGTCTGTTGCTGTTCTCTCTGCTCCTTGGGCCCCCATCTCAGGAATTTTTCTTCGTGACTTTTTCTAAAATGGCGTTCGTTTTCTTCTGAAATCGAACAGGCTTTAAGAGCTTCCATTCTCAAGTCCTGTTCTGGTTTGCACTCAAAAACAGCTGAAACAATGTCCCACGTTTCATCAAGACTATTTAACACCAACAGTATCTTCTGAGATTCAGGGATCTGCATGCCACGCTGTTCCAACTCAATGAATAAAGTTTGCATATGCAGCAAATGCCTTTCCACATTCTCTTGTGGTTGCAATTGGGCTCTGTATAATTGTCTCGATAATTGCACAATATTGCATACTGACGCACTCACATGCACACTTCTTAATTTCAGCTAAACCTCTTTTGCAGTTTTTAACTCAGCTACATTCAGGAATTGTTCATTTTCTAAACTTAAGATGATGTAGACCAGTGCCTTATCATGCTGCCTTTGATCTGCTGCTGCTAATGGTGCTTGGGGTGGATTAATAACAATATCCCAGAGCTCCTTAGCCTTCAGGAAGCATTCCATTTTTGCAGCCCAAATAATATAATTCTTCTGTTCCAATCGAGGCAGAGAGCTGTCCTTGAATTCAACAGCCATCATGCAAGCCTTCTCTGCTTTGTTCTTTTTTCTTTTTTAACACAGGCTGTTCTTCAGCTTAATTACAGTTCAGTCTTACTGTATCTGTTGTGCTCTGGGCCCATAACCTGTTAAGAGTTTGCAGCAATCCAACCAGCACACAAGTAAACAATTCAGCAGGATTCATTTATATAAGAAACTTCTTTATATACAATACCATACAGCAGAAGCCAGAACCAGAATTCAGAATCCTGAAGTACAGAATCAATAATCACAGAAGCTATACCTTCTTTCCCCGAAAATAAGACATCCCCTGATAATAAGCCCAATCGGGCTTTTGAGCGCATGCGCTAAAATAAGCCTCCCCAAAAAATAAGCCCTCCCCAAAAATATTTAAACGCAGAGCTGGAAATCAGGTAAGACGGCAAGAGGAGCCCCATCTTGCTCCACGCACCCCAAAATAATAAGATCTCCCCAAAAATAAGACCAAGCACTTATTTTGGGGTTCAAAAAAATATAAGACAGGGTCTTATTTTCGGGAAAACACAGAAGAATCACAGAAGCATTCATATATATATATATATATATATATATATATATATAAGCCACGCCCAGGTTCCGATCCTTCTGGGTCACCAAACAATCCCCATTGGCTGACCTGTTACCATGTCTATTCCAATTCATGAACCCTTATATACTGACATTTTACAATTAATCATCTAGAATACACCTTGTGTTTCTTTAGAGTGATTGATGATTTATTGTATATACTTACTCATTCCTTTGTTCTCTCCTTGTTATAGAGCAAGACTGAAAATCCATATAACCTAGGATATGCATACAACTTTAATTATGCTGTTGTCTTCAATATAATTTTCTGGATCATGCTTGGACTGGTGATAGCTGTGGTGGTTATCTCCTACAATCTGTGGAATATGGATCCAGGCTATGACAGCATCATTTATAGAATGACCAACCAGAAAATTAGAATGGATTAACCTTTAAATGAAAATCTTAGAGGAGAAATGCTTCTTCAGTATTCTGGCAGCATTCAGTATGGACTCTTCATAGTGTGAATATTTTTATGAAGTATACATTTGTTTTGTGAGGATATATTAAAGGGTAATAGTGGGTATAGCTAATGTGCAGAGTTGAAAATGAGCAGGACTACACAACCATGAGCTAATTCAAATTGAAATATATATTTATTCTACCCTGTGACCGTGCAGTGTGCATTTTGCTGTAAGGGTGTTTCTTTATATTGCTTACGACTAATATTCTATCAGTTTTCTTACACTGAAAGTTTAGGATGTTTTCTTGAACTGTGTTATAGATAAATAAAGTAATTCATGATGTAAATATTTCAAATGTTAGGATTTTAAACCTATTAAGCTTGATTATCCATTGTAAAAGTTTCTTTAAGCAGAGGTACCTTTTTAAAATACAACCTTGCTGTACATGTACGTATATTCACCCTAAATGTTTATTCAAAGTTACTGTGTTTCTTAAAATAATGAAGTAGAAATACTCATGAAGGAAGAGAAATACATATGGGTGCAGCATCTGTATTAATAATTGTAGGAATGTAGGATCTTGTGGTATTTATGAGTAGTGAATTCTGATGAAAAATTCAGTTATATACCATGTTCTTTTGTCACGTGATCAGTTAACAAATGGTACATAGTGGCCTGTGTTCTGTACTTGACATGATGTATTTCAGTTCTTGATATACGCTAAAAAACCCAAAAAGTCTGATATTTGAGTGGAATGTTTTATTGGGCATCAAATGCTAGGTATAAACATAGCACTGAAGATGGTATAGGCCTTGACATCAAATAGAATCTGCTTGCAGTGCAGAATTAATATTAAACAAATGTAATGGCTTGAGATGTTTGAAAGATTGTTGTTATGGTAACACTGCACAAATTCATTTACTGTGAGGAACTGAACAGATGTTCTACTACAGAGAATATAAAGTATTTAGCATAGAGAGTCAACTAACATTCCATTTGTAACTGTACTTAATTAAATGTTATACTAGTGCAGGGGTGTCAAACTCGATTTCATTGAGGGCCACATCAGGGTTGTGTTTGACCTCCAGAGGCCGGGGTGGGCGTGGCCAGCTTGACGTCACTTGTGTTGGGTGCGCCTGTGGTGGCCCAAGCACTCTACCAGTGAAAACAGGTACCCGAGCTCTATTTTCAGCTCCTACATCCTCCTGCAACCCTCTGCCAGAGAAAACAGAGCTCCGTTTTTGCCAGCAGAAGCACTGCGGGCCGCTCCTTCACTGTTTTCAGGACAGGCCTGTGGGCTAGATCTAAGTACCCTGCAGGCCGGATCTGGCCCCTGGGCCTTGTGTTTGACTCCCCTGTACTAGTTGTATACATTAATATTCTTTAATTTACAAGGTTGGGTGCATTGGTATATTGATATTCAACTGCTATAAGAGGGATGTCCAATTTTCTTCTAGATCTTGTAGGTGGCACTATGAATATGCTAGGTCTTGGTTACTTATGTTCTAGTTAAACTGTACAGGTGTATTTTCAGTTAATGTAAACACATATAGGTAAAAAAATTCACAACCATACACACGACTGAAAATACTTGAATTCTAGTTCCAGCTGGGACAATATTTCCCATTGTAAAAACATTTGTTTTGTTTTGCTTTGCTTTAGCTATATGATCAGAATTGTGAGTTATAATTTCTTTCTGATGAATCTGACCTCTTTAAAAAAAACAAATTTCTCTCAGTAGTTTTTGGAAAAAAAGGAGTTGGTCTGCAGATCTGAAATTAATCTGAAACTTGAGAAAATAAATAATATTTAACTGATGTATTTAAACAAGTTCCAATTGGAAAACTGGCAAGTAAGGGACTGATATAATAGTACTATTACATTAGTAACATCATATAGTATTAAAAATAATACTGTAGGCCACTAGCAATAATAGCATGATAGGGTCAAAAATTAGACACTGGTTTCCCTGTAGTAGTGTCAGTTTATAAATTGTTCAATACTGATATGAATAAAAAGATTTGTTAAGAGGTGATGTCTATAGGTTCTAATAATTCATCTAAAACAGGTGTCAAACTTGCAGTGTCACGTTGCCATCATGTGATGTATCGTGCTCTTTTTACCCTTTGCGGAGCTGGGGTGGGTGTGGCCTGCGCGTGATGCATCTGGCCTGTGGGCCACCAGTTTGACACATATTGAAATGAATAATTTCAATATTAATAGAATTGATCAATGTTAATATTGGCCTTGGATATGACAAAACATCTGCTTTAAAACTCTTAAGCATAAACTATTCAGTGTATTACTACAACAACTGAGAGAAGATCAGTTTGCCCTAATACTGTTGGCACATCTGACACCAAAATATTTTTAACTTGGGCTAAATTATAAAGGAACGTTTGAAGGAACAACATGTACTCATTCATATTCAAGAACCTTAGCTTTACAGTTGAAGTTTGAAGAACTTAATCAAATATTGCTCCTCTAAATATTAATCCTATACTGTAATAGAATCTTTTGAAATGTCTGCTTCTGCTTCCGACTTTAAAATAATCATGCATGCATTATGGGATGTTGGTAGCATAATGAATAAGATCTTTTTAAAAAAAAAATTAATATGCTCTTCTGTATTCATACCCAGGCAATCTTAAAGTAAAGGTATGCCATTTATTTTCTGCATAATTATCCAATATTGAAATCCTTTTTCTCAATCCTTTGGGAAATAGTACTATTTAGTTCATGAGGGTTTGTTCCTATATAAGTATGGAGAAAACTACAGCCCTTTACCTACTAGATACTACTTTTAAATTTATTGTTTGGAAAACAAAAAGAAATATATGTAATTATTGAGCCTATTGTTAACTTAAATTTATTGGCTGTCCAACTGCAATGGATCCTTGGTTTCTTTGGGTTCAGAATAAATATTTCAGTCGCTAAATAAAGTTATGTTCTCTATACAAACAGACTGCAGTTCTTTATGTGCTAGAAAGCAACCCATTTAAACTTTGAGGCCTCCAAGATGTAGTACTAGGAGAGTAATACATCTTTCATTTGTTCCATAATGCTGACTATAAAATGTATCCAAAATGAAATTTTTTTTAAAAATGTCTACAACTTTTCCCCTTTATAATGAAATTATAAAGTATTCCATGTTTTTTTCTCTTACTAAGATTCCTAATTTTGAAAGTTAACTGACTGGTTGAAGGCTGATTTACTGTAACCCAGGGGTGTCAAAACCGATTGCATCGTGGGCCATATCATGACGTATCAGGATGTTTTTTGCCTTTGCGGAGCCGGGTGGGCATGGCCTGTGCGGGACATATCCGACCTGCCAGTTTGACTGGCCTGCTCCAACCCCTTGTATTTTAAGGTCAACTTACTTTTGTTTCTTTACTGGTGTTTTCCCCCTTTTCTGTTGTGAACTATTTTCACTTTCCATATGGCAGCCCAGGGCAACTTTCTGAGTAGTGAAAGTGACCAGATTGGATTTACATCCACTGTATATCAGAATTTTCATTTTTTAACTTTTAAAAACTTTAGATCTTCATTTTTTAAAAAGGAATAATGGAACTTTTTTTTTCTTCGCACCTTCATTATGAGAAATATTATTTCAATGTTTTCTGCAGCCATTTTGTTAGAGTATCTTTAACTTCTCTATCTTTGAAAGGAATTATTTTTTTTTGATTGTGTAAACTCAGAAAAAGGAGAATCTGAAGTATATCAAACATGCAAACAATGCACCAATTTAAAGATAAGCCTTGTGAGAAGACATCGGAAAAAATGCCTTTTAATCTACAAGCTCAAGTTGAAAACTTAAGTAAAAAGCTTGATAAAATTACCAGGTTTTCCAATCAAGAAGGTACCCAGATGCAAACGATAGCAGCTAAGCCATTGCTGGCAGATATGAAGAAGCAACAGGCTAGAAAACTGGCGACCTGTTGCAGAAGTCTGAAAGATCTGGATTTTACAGAAAATGGACTTATACCCTACTAGAAAATAATTTGGACTGGACTTTCCTGGGAAGATGGCTTGAGTTTGGAAAGTGAATTTATTATATATAACCAGATAACTGATAAGAGATTTTGTATTTTAGTTTATAGAGAGACTGTCTCAACAATGGATGTGGTGGAGATATTTACAGCAGAGGTTTAGGATTTTGGAAGATGAGGTAAAATTGTTGGGAAAGCCCCCAATAAAAATTTTAAGGGAAAGTTTTATTATTAAGAACCAAAGAAGATATTTGATCCTGGATGGATCAGAGATCATGATTGTGGTGATTTGTGGCAGATAAGAAGCTGGTGTAGACAGTTATTGTTAAATACAATAACATTGCTAACAGAGGGATTTGAAGTTTAACTTTGCTATTGACTTACCTGTTAACTACTTTTGTTTTTTCATATAGTAGATAGAGGACAGGCCAAGTTGATTGTAAATAGATGTAGAAGTTTATAAATTGTTAGCCTGCTTTGCAAGGGGCAGAAACCAACATTGTTGATATATATTTATCAGTAGTCAACCGGGGTGATAATATATATGTGTGTGTTTGTCTTTTGTCCTTTTTAATGCAAATTTTTAATGTTTTGTCTATGGTACTGTGCAAAAATGTTAGGCAGTTGTGCAAAAATGCTGTAAATTAATGCTTTCAGAAATAGAAGTGTTAATAGGTTATTATCAATTAACAAAATGTAAAGTAAATGAACAGAAATCTAAATCAAATCAATATTTGGTGTCACCACTCTCAGCCTTCAAAACTGCATCAATTCTTACACTTGCACAAAGTCAGGGATTTTTTAGGATTACAGGTTTGAAACAAATAGCTTTGTAGGAGGCTTAAACTAGGTGAGGAACAGCCAAACTCTGCTATTATTATTTTTTTTAATTTGATCTATATGCCGCCCTTCTCCAGAGACTCAGGGCTGCTTACAATGCATTAATCAATAGCCTTCATACTTTTGTATATTTATACAAAGTCAGCTTATTGCCCCCACAAATTGGGTCCTCATTTCACCTACCTTAGAAAGGATGGAAGGCTGAGTCAACCTTGAGCCTTGGAGAGATTCGAACCAGCAGTAAATTGCAGGCAGCTGTGTTAATAACAGGGTGTGTAGACCACTGTACTATCAAGGCTCTTAAGGTGAGGTTGTGTAAGACAGTTTCATATCACAGGTCATACATACACCATGGCAAAAACAGCACAGGAATAAGACAAAAGGTAGTTATACTGCATCAGCCAGAACTCTCCCAGGCAAACATTTCAAAGTAGACAGGTTTCAAGCTCTTTTGAAGAAGCACAAAGAAATGGGCAACGTTGAGGACTGTAGATGGTATTGGTTGGCCAAGGAAATTTAATGCAGCACCTGAAAGACTCATCATGCTTACTTCCCTTCAACTTTGGAAGATATCCAGCAGTGCCATCAGCACAAAACTAGCAGAAACCAGTGGATGAGGTGCACGCATCTACTGTCCAGAGAAGTCTGGCCAGAAGTGATCTTCATGGAAGAATTGTGGCCAAAAAGCCATACCTCCAAACATGGAAAAAAGGCTAAGCGATTTAACTATTCATGAAAACATAAGTGGGATGCAGAAAAATGGCAGCAGGTGCCCTGGACTGATGGGTTGAAATTTGAAATATTTTGACTGTAGCAGGAGGCAGTTTGTTCATAGAAAGATTGGAGAGCGGTCCAATAATGAGTGTCTGTAGGCAGCAGTGAAGCATGGTGAAGATTCCTTGCAAGTTCGGAGCTGCATTTCTGCAAACAGAATTGGAGATTTGGTCAGAATCAATGGTGTCTGTAATGCTGAGAAATGCAGGCAGATACTTATCCATCATGCCATACCATCAGGGAGGCGTATGATTGGCTGCAAATTTATTCTGCAGCAAGACAACAGCCCCAAATATACAATCAATGTCATTCAGAACTATCTTCAGTGTAAAGAATTTCTGCAAAATGGATTCTCATTGATTAATCTCATCCAAGAATAATCAGTGTTCAGGAAAATACTACTTTTCACCCCTTAAAGTAGATTGCTGAATCATAGCAGCAGATTGAGAAGAGAAGCTGAGGCATAAAAAGCTGTTAAGAAAAAGAAGTTGGATATGGCGGCTAAAATAATTTTAGTAGTTAGTGAATTAAGAAGAAATTGAAAGAAACACAAATTAGAAACAATGCTTGAGGGAAATGGCATAAAGGAATTTATCTAGAAGAGATTCTGACAAAATTTTACTGATGAAGAGGAAGAAATGTTGGAAAGTTTGCCAAGACAAAATAGTTCAAAGAAGTAGGACATAACCAGGTTTTGGGACTCTGTTAGATCATTATTTTTAACCATGATTTGTAAATAAGACCATAGTTTATAAGGTATGGTTGCAGATATGCTAATCCCAAATTATATTTTGAATAATACTATATGCAAACTCAGCTCTAATAATTTATGGTTTTGTGTTTATAGTTTATGTACCAGGCCAATTTAGCTTATTCTATAAATCAGTTTTTTAAAATTTAACACAGTGTAAGAACCCAATCACTAAGCAGGGATATGAAATGCAGGAATCTGAAGAAATTATGGAAATGATATGTAATTAGTGGTGGGATTCAATTTATTTAACAACCGGTTCTGTGGGCGTGGCTTAGTTGGGGGTGTGGCTTGGTGATCATGTGATTGGGTGGGCATGGCTAGCTGGTCATGTGACGGGTGGGCGCGGCTGTGTGCATAGGGACTACTCAGGGCTGAAAAAAGTCATTTCTGACTGGTCCTCACACTTATGACCATCCTCACATTTATGCCCATTGCGGCATTCTTAACAACCGTGTCAGTCATTTCACCACTACTTCTCTTCACCACGGTGGGGAGGTGAAAGCAATAAAATGCTCTTCAGCCAACCTAGTTTCATATTTTAAATACAGGTAAGTGACTTAAGCACATGAAACTTCTTTTTCAAGTTGCTTTGTTTAATCAAGTGGCTGGTTATGTAGTCTTCCTTTAAACTAGAAATAGTTCCTAAGTTCCTGCTTAGTAATACCATTACCAAGCAATAATGGTATTGGTGGCTATTGGTAAAGTAAGAAAGTCAGTTTTATATCATGGGAAATTACCTCTTTTCTTAGTAGCAAAATAACAATTATAGCTCTGTGGTAAACAATGCTTCCAATCTCTGTTTCCAAAGCAAGATTCAGAGCTTACACTTGCAAACACTGAGTTGAAAGTGATTGTTATCTAACTCTTAAGTCATGCAGGATTCATCATAAAAATGCAGATATATGTTTGTAATATAGGTTTGTCCAATTCTGCTTAAATGTGTTTAGCAAAGGAAAATTTACTACCTTCCAAGGGTATCTACTTTTAACACAAGTCCTTTGGTTTTCAGTGTGACCTCTGAAGCATCAGAGAACAAAGCTGCTGTAGAAGAGCCCCTGAGATAATTAAAGATTGGTATTGTATCTTTCCTTAATCTTCCACCTAGCTTTCAGCAATTTCACACAAAACTTGGGTTACAAACCCTTTACCATCTTGGAGTTCTTTCAGACTTTTCTATAGGCTAAAAGCAAAACCTTTTAGTCTTCCATTCTTACACAGACTAGCAATATTTCTGTTGAAAAATGTATCTGAGTTAATCTTTTCCCACTAAAATAAAGAGGCTTTTTAAAAAATAGAAGTGAAATACTCCAGTACTGGGGAAACAGCTGTACCAAGCTAATAAATTATAAAATAGGAATTCCACGTTTTTTGCCTATAAAACTATAAACTTCGATATTTAAATTACCTGTTTATCATAAAAGATTGCCAACTAAGAACTTCATGGAAAAGTCAAGGATAGGAGGCAGAACAACTTCTACATGTCAACAATACTTAGATACAAGTTAATTAATTAAGCACTATGTGTGCTCTGGATAAGTAGCCCTCTTTTCTAGTAAAAAACTAAAGAACAATAACGTTCAGATTTATTGAATATAGTTTCTTGC